GCAGGGGGTCAGTTGGGGGAGATTGGGGGGTTGTAGCAGGACGAAGGAGATGCGACACACGAGAGGGGAAGGAGGGAAAATGGATGGGTCCACGCGGTTTTTTTCCACGCGTCCCCCACCCCTTATCGCGCCCTCCTTGATATTGGAAGCCGCATTGTCTTCTCCACTTGAAGGGCGCCCCTCCCGGACAAAGAAAGTCAAAATGGGGCAAGAATCGACCAGCTGCTTGCTAAGGGTCTGATTGGGTACCCTTGCGCGGCTGCAACCTGCACCTCCCGGACGTGGAGTGGGGGGAGGTGGGGAAGAGAAGCGCTGTCTGTTAAGGGTAGGGTAAATCTCCGTGATCTCTCCCCACGCCAGATCCTCTCTCTCAGCCTGGGTAGCACCCCCCTGCCCCTCTCTTCCCCGATCCCTCACAGCCTCCTTTTCTCCTCCCCCACTTTGCCCGGCCATCTCCTTACATGGTAATCTCGATTTCCCCTACCCACGCAGCCTCGTCCAGGGTCTTTCCCCCCTATTATTTCCCTCTCCAGGGCTTTGTCTGCCCTTCTGTCCTTTTCTCTAACAGATGTGCCCCTTTTCTCATCCTGCCTCTGAACCATCCGCACATCTCAGCCTTCTTCCATCCAGATTTCTACTTGGTCCACACCCATCCTTTCTCTATACATCCTCTGACCTCTGTTGGTGTACCTGTTGATGCTCTAGTATTCTTTGTTTATCTTCAGCATTTTTTATAGATCTACATACATACTTGTGTGAATTGTCCCCAAATGTGTGAGCTTTTTCACTGAACCTTTATTGTCTGAAATAAACATGACATGTCCGATATGTGGTATTCAAACATACATGTAGGCTGAACCTGTAAGTTTAATTTAATCTTAGCTATTCATCTAACATTCTACCTTTCTGTGTCCATCTTTCTATCTCCCATTTAGTTGTGTTTCCTCTATTCATCCCTATTTGATAGCCACAGTTGTATTTTTCCAAGTGGCACAATAACTTAATTCTGGGTCCCCGCCTTTTTCTTCCTTCTTGGCACTATGTACATCCGGCAGGGGATCCTCACTTGGAATATGGCGTGTGCCCTAGAGTGTCTGTGGCCGTTTATGGAATAGCACCCCAAAGGAAAACACCCCTTGTGCTGGTGGGAAATGGCAGCAATGAAAGTCCCTGGAGGAGTAGCACCGAATGAGTCTGAAAATCAGAAGAGTCTGGCAGCACCATATGAGTCTGTGTGACTTTCATGTAGTTGCACCTCGCTTGAATTCAGTGGCCTTCCACATCCTTGTTGTTTATGTCTTGGGCCCAGATGTCAGAACAGAGACAGAGGTCCTGTTTGTTCTGACTGGTGAGCTGCAGAATTTTGTATGTGGATGATGGAAATAATTAAACCTTTATGTGAGCTTGTGCTTGCTGGAGCATGAGTGGGTAGATGTGACGACTCTTCCTTATATGCAGTGCAAAATAAGTTGTCATTTCACTTTTATCTCAACAAGGAGATAATAGACTCTGTGATTTCTGGAAATGTACTTGTTTTCCCTAGAACTGCCATTACATTTTGGAAGAACCGGTTCCACCCCCTTACCTGCAGGTTGTCCGTGCACCTGCTGTTCCTGAGAGCTACTCCAGCCAATTCAATATATCAACATCTCTAGCAAAAATGGTTGGCTGTAAGCCACAAACTCCTCCAGCCTGGTCTTGCATTGTGTGTTTTCATAGGAAGAATAAAGAAAATAAGCTATCTTGACAAACATGGTATGTCAGTCTGGTTTTAAAAAGGAAGGCTCACCTGTGCTTCTTTATACCAAACTAGAGATGTGCTCATCCTGGTTTTCTTTGTTTAGAAAAACAGAACTATGAATACTCCATTACTCTGTGCCTGGGCCAGTTTCTGTTGTCATTTTATATTTGGGAAGACATGTGATTTAACATCTTTAGATTATATTAGATTTAAAGTTATATGTTACTTATGGTCAAAGGTATTCACAATTCTGAAAAAGCAGCAGCAATGTTAATTCATCAGTATCCTTAGACATTAATTGTGGGTTTTGTGTAAATGTCTCTTGGCCTATAAAATATGCACAATAAAATAGTGGAATATTTTACTTTCTGAGCTGCTTTTACTATACTATGTTTAAAAAACACTTGGGTACTTTAGCATGAGTTTGGTGCACGCTGGTTTATTTCATGTCATTAAAATCTCCTGTCCCTATTGCCTTAGTTAGTTCCATGTTTCCTTTGTCAATAAATTGCTCTGGAAGTCTCCATTCCAAATTAAATTCTGCTTCAAAGGATAGAATTTCTATAAAACTAGCTTGTTGTCCGTCTGTTTTTGTTCTACAAATCTACAACACTTTGCTTGGGAGCCACCCTCTTTATTATGAATACCCTGTTCTTTATAATCCTTATGATTGTAGTTGCAGTTATTTAGTGATCAAAAGGGAGTCCTTCTAAATGCACTTAGATACTCTTTGCTTTGTTATTATTGTTGGGGCTTGATCCTGGTACTGTATTGCAAACAGATTCCAGAAGTGAGCTTTCAAAGCATTGTGAAATGTTTAATGAAAGGATGTAGCCCAGTACTAATTCAACTGCAAATTCTCTTCAATTGTTAATAAACAAGTCTCTTGTCCTCAGTTTTCCCTCTGTAATTAGTATGTGTTTATCATAAATACTCTGAGCAGGGATGCTTTCAATTAAAGATCTGTACGTGATAAATCTCTTACAATTTGGAGTGAAAGTAGTGTTCCACGCTTCCATAATTCAAGTATCTGGGATAGGAGGTAACCGTGGAGCAGAGTAAAGGGGAAGAGATTGTAGGCACACTACATTTACATCAAAGTGCTCTTTCAGCCCAATAAAGCATACAGTGCAGATAGGTAATTGTGAAGAGCATATACCATCTTAAGTAATGAGTTGGAATGAGATGACCTAGCTTGACAAATGTGACTGTGGCTGCCACCACCTCTCTCTGATGGTTTTCCCCCAGTGTTAATTTGTGTCCAGCATATGATCCTAAAGCCTCTTCTCCATGCTGGGTCCTATAAGTAACTGTTAGCCCTCATTCCCTTACTACTGACTACTCATAGCCTTGGAAACCATTAGTGATATGGTCATGGAATGCAAGGCTGCCTTCAGGTGGTTTCTAGGTAGGTTTTCACTCAGCATCTATCTTATTACAGATTGACTATTTATTTATTTATTTATTGGTTTGAAAATAAGAAAGAAAAAAAAGAAAAAAATAGAACACAAAAATAATTGTAGTGCAGATACCTACATTCTCCAAAAAAAGAAAAAGAAAAAGAAAAGAAACAACAGTAAAAGAGTGCTTTTAAAAAAGAAAATGAAAAAAACAGAAAAAACCCCAAAGTATAATGTATCATTATAACAGTTAAAGTTCTCTATATTCTTATCTAATATTATATATTATTCCGGTGCATAGATATATTTATTTCTAATACATTTATATAACTATCTTTTGCCTTTAACCTATTGTATTTTGTATAAATGAGTTCCATATTTCATTATACTTCTCCACACAAAGTCTGCGTCTATAGGCAATCCCCTCATAGGTGGCAAGAATAATCAGGTCTTCAATCCATTGAGTGAATGGGGCCATACATTGATCTTTCCAATGCTGCAATACAGTATCAGTCTTTTGGTCATAATAAGGACACAGAGAATCCATTTACATTGTCCAGTTGTCAATTTCCATGTAATAGGTATGTAATTCAAAAGAACATTATTCTCTGAGAATTTTAATTTTTGTGGCAGTCATATTTATATAATCCACTACTTTCTCCCAAAATAGGACATTATAAACACATGTGTTTTAAAGAAGCATTATCAATTACAGATTAACTACTTGATGTTTTTATTTATTGCATCTAGTATTTCTTTGAAAGAGTTATCCTGGATAATATTTAAGCTTAGACCTACTTAGATACATTAGACATCTTCAAAGAAATATCTGTTTTACATTTACAGTTTCTGATGGGGATCTGGTATTTTCTTTCTACTACATCTAGTTTCCACTGCAGACATTATATTTGAAGAGAATCCAGCTCATACATACATTTTTTTATCAAGCCGTCTGCTAATGAGATAGTTATGAATAGAAATCAGTGTCAATCAAGAATGAAGTTGGAGTTGAAGTCACTTGAACACTTTCCTCCAAAGGGACTAGTCAGTAGTTAGCAAAATCCTTTGGGTCCCATCTGGACTTTTTCAGGAGTGGCTACATAGGTGCCTCCATAAGTACTGTGAGTATTATTGCTTCAGAAACAGTGATATTTGTCACCCTTAGGATTCAACCATCCACCATCTGCTAAAGTAAGCTGCAGGTCATGAAAGCTTATGCCTTTTAATAAAATTTGTTAATTGGAAAAGGTGCTGCCAGAGTCCTGGGGTTTTTTTGGGGTTTTTTTGCATCATTGACTAACAGCTCTCCTCCTACAGCCATCCATTAGTAGGTATTATGAACTGAGATAGGCGAACATTGAGTACCAGAATAATGCACCACTATGCCTGAGGTCTGTTGACAAGATGTTTGGGCTATATCAATAAA